AGAGGAAGAATGAACATGGAAGTGCATGCCTATAATGCCAGCAATAAGGTCCGGAAGCCTAAAGTAGGTGGGTCAAGACTTGGGCATGACCAGGCAAGAAGTGAGACCCTATCTTAAAAATAACTAGCAAAATCCTGGAGGCTGATCTCCCAGTACCATGAAAGAAAGAAGAAAGAAAAGGAAGGAAAGAGGGAGAAAGAGATGGAAATTGAAAAGGAAAAATTAGAAAATTGGAGGAGATATTTACAACCTCAACAGTCAATATGAATTGTGAAATAAAAAGGGAAAGGAATAGAAGATGAACCATACATCAGACCAGAGGCTAGCTCTCAGAAAGTCTGCTAGACTTTTTTTTTTTTTTTTTGCCTGTCTGGGGCTTGAACTCAGACTGGGCACTGTCCCTGGGTTTCTTTGCTCAAGGCTAGCACTCCACCATTTGAGTCACAGTGCTACTTCCAGCTTTTTCTGTGATTAACTGGAAATAAGAGTCTCAAGGATTTTCCTGCTGGGCTGGCTCAGAACCTTGATCTTCTCAGCCTTCTGAGTCGCTAAGATGACAGGTATCAGCTATCTGCACTGGGCTGTAAGACTCTTGTCTCCAATTAACCACCAGAAAGCCAGAAGCAGAGCTGTAGCTCAAATGGGTAGAACATTAGCCTTAAACAAAAAGGCTCAGGGACAATGCCTAGGCCCCAAGTTCAAGCCCCAATACGGGCACAAAATAAGAAGCAAGCAAGCAAGAAATCCAATTTGAAAATGGTCAACTGATCTAAATATCTAGGTTAACTGACCTAAGTATCTCTCAAAAATAGAAACATGAGAAGCTCAACATCCCATAATCAGGGAAATGCAAACCCAAAATACAACATCACCTCCTTCCAGTTAGAAAAACTTATTACCAAAAAAGAGATAGCAAGTACTACTAGGAGTGAGGCAGAGACAGACCCGGAACACGGGTATGGCCATGATGGAGGACAGTGGGAAATTCCCTTCTTGCCAAATTAAAGTACTTAAGATGTTAAAATATATACATATATATATAATGTTTATAAGCATGAATGTGTTTTGTATTTTATGTAAATATATAAACCAATATTAGGAAGAAAGGAGGCCGGGAGGAGGTAAAGGGAGGCAGAAAACAATGTTTTATATTTCTATTTTCTATCTACACATATTTACATCATAAATGTATTTATATAAATAAATATTAACCACCAGAAAACTTGAACTGGTGCTGTAACTCAAAGGGGTAGAGCACTAGTCTTGAGCAAAAAGAGCTCAGGGACAGTGCCCAAGCCCCAAGTTCAAGCTCCAGGACTGCCAAAAACAAAAAACAAAAAAACTAGAACTACCATACAACCCAGCAACCCCATTGCTGAGTATTTATATCTGAAGGAATGAAATTCCCATGCTCACTGAAACACTATTCATAACAGTCAAGAGACAGAAACAACTTCTGTCTGCCAATAGACTGATGGATACAGAAAATGGAATACAATGGAATACTAAGCAGCCACACCAGGATGAAATCCTGTCCTACTGACATGAATGGAACTGGAGGTTGTCACATTAAGTTAAATACGCCAGGCACAGAAAGACAAATGTTGCACAATCTCACTCATACTTGAGCTCTAAAATAGTTTGTCTCATAGACATTAACAGTAGAACATGGCTACCAGAGATTCGGGGCAGTAGTGGGAAGGGAATAATAGGAAAAAGTTGGTCAGTGGGAACTAAGTTACAAATAGAATAAGAAGTTCTGGGGTGTCATTGTACAGTAGAGTGTCTACAAATAAAATACACTACAGCCGGGTGCCCCTGGCTCACGCCCGTAATCCCAGCTACTCAGGAGGCCTAGATCCAAGGATCGTGGTTGAAAGCCAGCCCAAGCAGGAAAGTCCATGTGACTCTCATCTCCAGTGAACCACCAGAAAACCGGAAGTGGCGCTGTGGCTCAAGTGGTCCAGAGCTCACCTTGAGCTAAAGAGCTCCGGGACAGCACCCTGGCCCAGAGTTCAAGCACCATGATGGACAAAAACAAAACAACAAAAACAAACCATGAGTTTGAGTGCTGGGACCCACTGAGTGACCAGCAGGGTGGAGAAAAAACAGACATAGATAGATTTCAGACACAGGGGAAAAGAGTAGATTCCAACAACCCCAGGAGAACTCATCATCCACCAAGGACCAAGAACCAGAAACCCTGGCACACCGGAACCACCCCACCAGATGCCTCAGACACGGTGACTTTTGACCCAAGATTCCACACCTAGCAACAAACTCACAAATTGAGAGGGTGGAATAAAACCATCTTTTGACAAAGGTCTCAAAAACACAGCTTCTTGGCCTTCCTTTCTTAACCAGCTGGAAGAGAGCTCCATTAGGGAGGGTGTAAATGGGGAGAAAAGTCACAGCTGGGGCGCCCACCTGAGAAGTCATGGCCAAGGATCCTCCCAGAGCACCCAGCAGGCAGCCAGGGCAGACCCAGGCTGCTGCCTTTTCGAGAAAGAAACTGGAATCATGATGCGCAATATAGCTGTCTTTGGGCAAAAATCTCCATAGGCTTGCTGTGCTGAACAGTCTGGTCTGGCTACTGAGATGGAGTGGAGGTAGGCTGTGTGTATGGGTAGCAGAGTAAAAATGATTAAATTCAAGAGACAATGCTAAAAACTGGAAGGGGGGGGGGAAGCTAGGTATTGGTGGCCCTTGCCTATAGTCCTAGTTACTTAGCAGGCTGAAATCTGAGGATCATGGTTCAAAGCCAGCCTGGACAATTAATTTCAGGGGACTCATTTCCGATCAACCAGAAAGAAGTGGAGGTGTGGCTCAGGTGGTAGAGCACTAACAGGGAACAAAAAAAGCCAAGGTGAGCACAAGAGGCCCTGAGTTCAAGTTCCAGTACTAGCACAAAGGATCATTTGAGCCTGTAAGTCCCAAGTAAACCCAAGTAGAGAGGGAGACAGGGAGAGGAGAGAGAGGACAAGAGGGGATTGGGTTAGGGGAGAGGGGTGAGGAGAGAGGGGATGGGGACAGGGACTGGGGAAAGGAGAAAAGGGATGGGCACACAGGGTAGGGGAGAGGAAAGAGAAGAGAGGGGCTGGGGACAGGGGACAGGGGGCAGGGGAGAGGGGGCCAGGAGTTGGGAACAAGCACTCAACAAGCTGGACGGGGAGCATGGGAAGTGCAGTGCCCTGCGGGAGAGGCCCGGGCTCTATGGGGTTCAGAGCTACAGGATTCCGTGTGTGAAATGGCAGTCAGACCATGCTCCACAGCCATCTGCTCTAGGGTGTACACATCCACTTGAAAACTTGTCTCCTCCATGCAGGAAATAATCACGGGTGCTAGAGCACGGGAGTCATGCTTTCCCTTGAAGCAGAAATCCTGATGGAGAAACTGGATCTGCGGGAGAATCCGGATCTGTGGGGAGGATCCGCATCTCCACAGAAGCCAAGCATCAGGACCCGGCAGGTGCGTTCTCGCGTGCGGAGACGTGTTCTCTGCACGGTGGGCACCGGGGGAGACGCGTTCTCTGCACGGAGGACACCCAGGGTGATGCGTTCTCAGCACGGCCGGCACCCGGCGTGACGCGTTCTCTGCACGGAGGACACTCGGGGTGACACGTTCTCTGCACGGTGGACACTCGGGGTGACGCGTTCTCTGCACGGCGGACGCTCGGGGTGACGCATTCTCTGCACGGAGGACACCCGGGTTGACGCGCTCTCTGCACGGAGAACACCCGGGTTGACGCGCTCGCTGCACGGTGGATGCTCGGGGTGACACGTTCTCTGCATGGAGGACACCCAGGGTGACGCGTTCTCTGCACGGAGGATGCTCGGGGTGACGCGTTCTCTGCACGGTGGATGCTTGGGGTGACGCCTTCTCTGCACGGTGGATGCTTGGGGTGACGCCTTCTCTGCATGCAGGCACCCGGGGCCTCGGTCTGGGCGTTGACCGCTCGTAATGCCCCGCGGGTCACTGACGTCCAGCGTCAGGAGTCAGCGGGGAACCTTCGGTGACAGGGCTGAGGGCGGCGGTGCAAAGTGCGGCAAGTGCCCCGGCTTCTGTTTCCCTGATGGTCGCCAGTGTTGGCGGAGAAAGCGCTTGCGCCCCGCCCGTGGCTGCACATCTCCGGGCTCTCAACACAGAGTGCAGGTCCGGGGCTCTCCGCACCACCCAGGAACGCCCGGTTCAGGGCGGGAAGGGGCTGGTCGGGGCCCGGGCCTGAAGCGGGCAGGTGCGGGGCGGGACCGCGGGCACCGAGTCGGCAGGCTCAGCTCCCGCACACGCATCCCAGCGGTGGCTCGGCGGCCCGGGACGCGCACGGGGAGCCGCCGAGCCAGGACCGCGGCGCCTGCGGGGACTCTGGGCTCGGGTCACCTCCAGGCTGGAGAGCTGCTCCCATCACGGGACGCGGAGCGGGACGGCGGCTCGCCAGGCCGGTGGCGGGCGCAGGGGACCCGTGCCGCCGACGAGACCAGGGAGGACGGGGCCTCGCCGCCCGGGGGCGGTTCGCCCACCGGTGGACGTAACTAAACACCGGGAAGCGCCGCCTACCGGCAGCGCGGGGTGGCCGACGACGCCAGCGGCCCGCGCAGCCCCCGCGCCCCGGGCAGACCCGCGCCCACCCCGCGCCCCGGCGGCTCCCGCACTGCCCCCACGCGCCCCGGGCAGACCCCACGCAGCCCCCCGTGCCCCACCAGACCCCACGCAGCTCACGCTCCCCGAACAGACCCCATACAACCCACGCGCCCCGGACAGACCCCACGCAGTCCCCGCGCCCCGGCAGACCCCACGCAATCCTCGCGCGCCCCGGCAGACCCCACGCAATCCTCGCGCGCCCCGGCAGACCCCACGCAGTCCCCGCGCTCCGGCAGACCCCACGCAATCCTCGCGCGCCCCGGTAGACCCCGCGCAACCTATCAGACCCCATGTAGCGCCCGCGCTCCCTGGCAGACCCCCTCGCCCACCCCGCGCGGACCCCCGTGCCCTCCGGCCCGTACCTGACTGCGCCGCGTCCGGCTCGCCCGTGACTCGGGGGTCCCCGGCCTCCGCGTCCCGTCGCTCCGGCTCCTCCTGCCCCGCGGGCTCTGCAGGCTCGGCGGACGAGCACGGGGGCGCGGGGCTGGCCGAGGCCGGGCTGGACGAGGCCGAGCTGTCGGAGGAGCTACTCGGGCCCCAGGCGTCCCAGAGCCAGGGCGCGTGCGCCTGCTCCAGCAGCCGGCGCCCCAGGCGGTAGCGCCGCAGCTCGCGGTAGCAGGCCGCGAACTCGTCCCAGCGCGGCTCCCGGTAGCGTTTCATGTACTCGCTCTTGATACCGCTGCCTGGAGACATGGCGACGCCGACGCCCGCTCCGCACCGCCGCCCGCGGGACCTCACGACACAGAGGCCCGGCCCGCCGCGCCGTTCAA